TATGAGAAAAAATATACACGTCAGCACGTGATGGTGGAATTCCATTAGCTTTTTCTTTCTATAAAGGTACAACATTAAGTATTGTAATGACAGAATTGCACATATCAAAAGCAAACTTCATATTCATTTAACTGAGTGCAATAAAAAGATTTGATATATGTACCAAGGTTTGAATGATCCTCGAGAGTGATTTTATTCCTATGCAATGAGGCTCATCTAATTTTGAGCAGTTTATTTTGTTTGTCTCACTTTGTTCTTTTACACAAATGAATGAGAAAAGATATATTATAATAACTTTGTAATTATTATCATAGTGTTAAAACAAAGTAAATAATATCTTTTGTAAATATTTACCTTTGCTTTATTAGTCAACCAATGTGCAACAATAAATAGGAACTAACTATTATCTACTTGAGAATCATCAACCTTTGCTGCCATTTCCTCCGGTGTCTTATGTTCATCATAAAATTTAGACTTTAATTCGTTCTTCCATTGCCTCCACTTAGCACCCATGTTTCTTAGTGCCCAAGACTTAATTTTTTTTTTACATATTTCTTCATTAACAAGCTTATCAAAATCAGATTTGTGAAATTCAAACTTTGACTATAATTTGAAAGAGGTAATTGGAAAGAAAATGTCAATATATATTATATGAATTGCTACTATTAACTAAAAACTAAAAGATTATTGTCATGGCACTAGCTACCAAATAAAACATTATAGTATTGATACCTCTAATGTTTTCCACATTTCTTAATTCTTATCATCCAACATTTCATGTCAATTTGTATAATTAATTAGTGCAAAGCTAGGCATTCTCACCATGTTACCAATGAATTGAATTAAAAAGCAAGTTTCATCACCGATAAGTATAGCATTATCATTGACCTTAACAACAATATGCTCCCTTTTTTCCAAGTCCCAAATATCAGCCATACATGTAAGACCTCGAGTATTTTTATGTTGAACATTTCCTAGATAGAAAAATTACATGTAAAAAAAAGCAATTAAATTCCTTAAAAATTGTATTTGTACAACATTATAACACATAAAGAATTGTACTAACAAAATAGTATTTTTATACTTGAATTATGTTCAAGTTGTTCATCTTGATCTTTATTATTTGTAGATTAAGGAATTAATTTTTGATATTCTTATAAAGGTTCATGTTGTGAAGCTTCTGGATCTACAGGAACATGTTATTCTTCAGATTATGTTTGCAATTGAAAACTAGAGGCACAGTTTGCCTTAGTGATATTCAATCGTCTACGCTTTGCCATCTCAAATCTAATAATACACAATACATTAATGAACTATGTCTTACATTGCAAGATGATTTGCCCTAGTAATAAAATGAAATTACTCAGAATGTAAGATGATTTGCCCTAGTAATAAAATTATATTAATTTAAAAACTTAAAATTAAAACAATAGCATTTAATTTAAGCACTAAATAAAATTTGACTATATAAGCATAATTTAACATTTTCATTAAGAATAATATTTCAGATGTACCTTTATAATTAAACTTATGTATTTTTAGGAGAAGTACAACCAAGATCAGTTGCGACTGAAAAAGCAAGACAGAGGCAGATGATGAAAGAAAAGTAACTCATAATTACAAAAAGACAAAATCCGGGCAGCTTGTAAAGATTATGTAGAAATGATGAATTTTTGTAAAGAAAACCAAGTTTTAAAGCTTGAAAATTTAAAAAAAGGATTTTAGCTACAAAGTTAAAAAGATCAAAGGTGAGGAAAAATGAGACAAGTTAAGCTTCAAGCGAGATAAGGACTGAAAGGCAAGGTAAGGATGGTGGGAACAAAATTTTCACTATTTTTGTTTTAATTAGTTTAGATTATTTCAAAAGGTTTTCATTCCCAAGACGTGAGTGCATAAGGTAAGGAAAATGGATTATTGAAGGTGTTTTTGACCAAAACAAACCTTAAATAATCTTTTGATAGGGAGTTATTCCCTATAATTTTTTATGAAGGATTATTCTAGGTGTTGTTTTGTTAAAAATACCTTTAATAATCCCCTACATTTTTTAGGTGAAGATTAATCAAGGCTTTTTAACCCAAAAAATTCTTGAATAATCTTTTATAAAAAATTGAATAGGGTTATTGAAGGTGTTTTTGACCAAAAATACCTTGAATAATTTCCTTAGATTTTTTATGAGTGGATTATTGAAGGCGTTTTTGGCAAAAAATGTCTTCAATAATCCTCTCCATTTTTTAGATGGATTATTAAAGGTGTTTCTAGCTAAAAATGCTTTGAATAATTCGTGGATCATTCAAGGTATTTTTTGTCACAGATGCCTTCTATAACCCACGAAATATTCATTCATACGGGATTATTGAAGGCGTTTTTTTGTCGAAAATGCCTTCATTAATCCCAAAAAATGCCTTCATTAATCCTCTTCAATTTTTATGATGAAATTCTTAAAGGCATTGTTAGCTAGAAAACGCCTTGAATAATCCCTTACAAAATATTAAATAGGGTTATTGAAGGCGTTTCTAGCTAAAAATGCCTTTAATAATTCATGGATTATTCACGACGTTTATCACCAAAAATGCTTTCAATAACCCATGAATTATTCATTTAAAGGGAATTATTCAAGGCGTTTATGGCCAAAAATGCCTTAAATAATCCTTTTCAATTTTTATTAGGAGAATCCTTAAATAATCCATAACAAAATATTGAATGGGATTATTGAAGGCGTTTCTAGCCAAAAACACCTTCAATAATTCCCCCTAATTTTTTAAAGGGGATTCTTAAGGTGTTTTTTATAAAAAAAAAAATGCCTTCAATAATCTGTGATTTTTTTTTAGATTATTTAAGGCGTTTTTACCCAAAAAATGCCTTGAATATTTCATTAAAAAATTAAAGGTGTTTTTTTTAGTAAAACGCCTTCATTGATCATTCTTGAAATTTATTCCCCTATCTTGAACTTTGAAATCTCAAACTACTATTACAGAGAACGATTAAAAGTTGCATTGTAACCAAACTAAAACCCCTAAACCCATTTAGTTTGCCTTTTAGTTTCTTCATCTCTCTCATCGTTGTCGACCTTTAACAACTCAACATCATGACATCTCTTTTTATCGATATGTCCTTATTTTATTTATTTTTTGTATTATTTATATTCTTTGATATAAGTATTCTTTTTGTCGTTCCTTACTATATATATTTTTATTCATTCCACCATCACCTTAGTTATCCATCACTTTTCATTGCATGTATGACGTTTCTGTGTAGTTTGGTTTGAATATTGTGGTTTGCTAATGGTATTGTGAAAATTGTGTATTTTTTTTATTCATAATTTCTTTTGCATGGAACTCTTATTTAAGGTAGGAATCATAGTATGACTTGTACTCGTAAAATATTATTGGTTTAAGGATGTTTTATGTATATTGGTGTAGTAACTATAGTATGATATTAGTTGTATTTTATTACATACTGTGTGAAATTTAGAGAGACAGTTTGGTGTATTTCATATAATTATGATCAAAATTGCAAATATTATGAAATCTGAAGAACATACTTCTCCTGCTACTGAACATGAAGAAGATATACCTGTAGTGAAAAAAAAAATAAGGGGATGAAATAAACAAATTAAAGTGACTGACATAAAAATTCACGTCGAATTCAATCAAAGTGGGAAAATAGAGATACATTATATTAGAATCATGTCAATTCATAATAGATCTAGGGAAATTTTTTAAATTTCAGTACATATAATTCAACAGTGTGATCCTATCCCAGTAAAATGCTCAGTTAGAGCAGACAAGGCAGCTAGCCATGCCAGTTCCCCAAATGGTGCAATATTAATAGAAATCTTGCACCACCATAGGAGATAACTCTGGTGACTTCGCCATTTGAGCATAGGAAATGCATGTCAAATGGAAATTTATGTTAATAAAAAAGAATTATTTAAATTCTATACCATTCATTTCAATTCAAACAAAATACCTCATTTTCATGAAACAAAACTTACAATAAAAAACTTTTTAATGGTTTCAGTTCCAAAGAAACACCACCAGGAAAAGACAATATGATTATAAAGTAAGATGAACAAGCATTGGCATTTGTTCTATAAAGGAGAATATTATACATTGTGTAAAGTTATCAAAACTAGAATGAATGGTAAACCATTAATAGAGCCCAACATTGCTATGCCTATAGGTGCCCTAAAAGAAAAAAAAATAGAAGAAAAAAGAGTACCCATAGGTTGAAAATTTCAAAATTAGCCCTATTCTTGAATTTAATAGGATACTTACATGTTGCCTAATGCCTAATCAAGGAGTAAAATATTGCCTTCTATGAAGTTCATATGATGGAATTATGGCCTACTTAGATATTTATTAGTAACCCCTATAGATTCTAAAACTTGTTTGGATTTATTGCACCAATATTAGCTGAGAAGAAATCACTCCATATTAGAACTTTGCTAGTCTTCAAAGCTTCTAAACTATTGCATAAATATATTCACCTGTTGAATCACTAGACATTAGATCCACTAGCATGGCCGTTACAGATACATTTGTAAAAAAATCCTTTGTTAACCATTTCATGAAGAATTTATACTCCCTTTGATGTGTCATTATTTCGAAAAAATCCTGTAATCATCACATATAAGAGCAACTATCTGGCATGTAACTATCCAGTTCAATTTTACTAAACAATTCACACGCTTCATTCTATAGCCCTTATTTACAAAGTCCTCTTATCATTATACTATATATGTAAACATTAGGTTGTATCCCTTTGACTTTGAGTGCACAAAATAATTTTCTTGCAACTTTAAGTTGCCTAACATGACAAAAGCCATCAATTAAGATAGAATAGTGGACAATATTAGGTTCTAACCCACTATTCTACATTACATGAAAAAGTCCTAATGCCTTATGAATATGACCACGCTTGCATAAGCCGTCCAACAAAGTAGAGTAAGTGATCACGTCTGGAACTAGGCCATGAGCACTCATTTCTTTGAAAATTTCTTATGCAACTGCAAGTCTCCCAACCTGTGACATGCCACTTATAAGAGTGCTGTAAGTAACAACATCAGGGGTTAATCTATTTCGAGTCATTTCATGAAAGAGTTCCATTGCCTCATCAATCCTTTTAGCTTTACAATATCCATTGATAATGATGTTGTAAGTAAATTCATCAGGTACATAACCCTTGTTAGTTATTGAATTGAATAATTTTCTGGTTGCATCCATTTCACCTTGCAAACAATATCCATCAAGCAATTAATTATAAGTAACTTTATTAGGCTCAACTCCTTGTTGAATCATTTTTTCAAAAATATTTTGAGTCTCTAAAACTCTACTCTCTTTACAAAAGGCATCAACCATAATATTATATGTGATGACATCAAGTTTGCAATTGTTTGCCATCATTTTGATTCATTAATCTTGTAACCTTTATCCACTAGCATGAATTACACATAGCATGAATTAATGAATTATAAGTGACAACATTAGATGGAATGTCTTTACCTTTCATTTCTGAGAAAAGTTTCAAAGCTTCAGTTAAATGTTTGTCCTTGCAAAGGCTGTTAATGACAGTGTTGTATGCACTGTCAGATGAAAAACTTATTTCTCCCATAGTCCTTAACAACAAAATCGCTTAAGTAGTGTGACCTATTTTACAAAAACCATTTACTATGGTATTATAAGTGATTAAATTAGACTAATACCCTTCTTGAACCATGTCATCAAACAACCTTACAGCTTTAGCTATTTTACGACCAATGTAAAGTCCATTGATCAAAGTGGAGAGTGTTACAGTATCTAACTCAATGCCCAACTTCAACATCTTCCCCAAAACTAAAAACCCAAAATCCAAATGATGCAAGTGACAAAAAAAATTTGTCAAAATGCTGAAAGTACAAATATTAGGATAAATTCCTAGTAATTCCATTTTTTTCAATAAAGTAACCGTAGTTTCATAATACTTCATTCTAACAATGGCCCCTAATAATTGATTAAATTCCATAATAGAAGGACGTGGATGTATATGTAGCATCTGATCAAACTTGATTAAGGCACCGTCAATTTGATCAGATACATACTTAGGTTTCTTCTTGCAATGGCTAGTAGAGAAATGAGAGATTGGGGAATAAAATAAAGAGGAGGCAGTTCTAGGGTTACCTGATCCCAATTGTCGAAGATGATCAAAGGTAGAGGAAAAAGAAAAGAGAGAAGAGCTTCTCCAACCCCTCATCATCATCATCATCATCATTAAAAAAATAAACCAAAAGCTCTAATTTTTTTTTAACTACTTCATTATCGAATGAGACATCCATGCACCATGCTCAAATGACAAATTACTATCAAAAGTCCAAACTTGATTTTGGACCCACGCCTAACTGATACGCTCCATTTAAACCGTTTACCTGTTTTTAAAGCCAGGATCGAATTTGGTCGATTTAGGGCTACTGAAGTTCAATCAATCAAAATCTCGTATATCCCAACTTGGATATTTAAATGATGGTTAATTTGGATAGATAATGAAATTATATTAGTTGAGATTGAAAATAATGTAGAGTTGATATTAGATAACATGTTAGTGGTAGGATTAAAATCAGTATTAAAATGTAAGTTTAGTTTAAAAGATAAATTATAGTAAAAAAATGATTATTAAGGATTTTAATTTAAAAATATAATAGTAAATTAAATTATATATATTTTAATGTTAATTAATATTTAAAATCTTAAAAATTTATTGAATCAAAATATTGACACATATTAAATTATATTAAAATAGTAACTAAGATCAAATATAACATATTAATATAAATAATTCAATGAAACTCTTAAAGCCAATTATATTTCTTTACATTTTTTCTCAAACCTTTTTGTTTACTTTTTCATATTTTGTGAAGTATAAAGTTAAAATTTACAAAAGCATTTATTTTTCTCTTTTATAAGTGTTGATAATAAGTTTCCTAACTTTAACTTATAAACATCTACGTTAAATTTGCTTTTTCAATAATCACTTTAATTTCTAAAATAGGTTTTATGTTTCATAATACTAATAGAAATGGTGATTGATATATTTACTTGCAAGTATTAAGTGGTAGTATCATAAGCAATGATACTATGTCATAGTTTTACATGCACCAATCTTATACAAAGAATGATTGGCAAGTAGATATTTTACTACTTTATTTTAATGCTTATTTACATCTTTCTCTTTCGAAATATATAGAACTTATTGTTTCCAATATTGAGTGCTAATAGAGAATAGATACATATGCAAGTACCTTGTCAACAGATATCTAGATTAACATTTAATTACATTCTTTACTTTTAATATAATATATATTATATATATGATATCTTTTGAATATTTTATTCTTCTTCAAATATTAGTTTTTGTATTTTTAAAATTTGTTAAATTTTTAATAAAAAAATTTAATTTTATAATGATTTGATATCTTAATTATATTATATGTATTTTACATATATTTGGAATGTATAAATATAACGTTAATTTATGTGTTTACACACGTTTAAATAATTAAAGACAATTAATGTATTGTACGAGTAATAAATTGGTTTATTATATTTCATTTTTTATATAACTTTTATATTTTTTCAACTCTAACTACAAAAATTCTTTTAAAAATTTATTTTTTATTTTTCATGTTATTAGTATTATCTAAACAATTTTTACAAATATAATAATACATATATTGCATATTTTTTCATGTTTATTCTATCTCTAATATCATTTTTTCTTTATTATAGTTATTTTTTAATCTCATCAAATTTTAATATTCAAAATTTCTTTATAAAAATATTTCTTCATACAATTAATTCATTTTAAAACACTTTCATTTTAAATTTTTTAAAAAATTTTAAGACTTTTATACAAACTCACACTTATGAACTTGTATAGTTTGATGTTGCATTTAATATTACATCTTATTTGTCTTGGCTAGCTTGGCTTGTGGCTCATATGCCTTCTTTTTTAGGGGAGTTTTGCCTTAAAAAGATCAAAATCTTGCATTATTAGGTTTATATTAATTTACATAAATAGTTATTTATTATACTTGAAATTTGCAAAATTTATGATGATATCATGTTAAGATATCAAGATAATTTTTATAAACTTGATTTAATGGGGTACATGAAATTGGATTAATTAGCTTCACTAAATGGTTTATAGTTTAATCACTATTAGAATTTTAAGCATTAGCGACAAAATTTTATAGACAGAAATTTTCTGTCGGTAATTAGTGATAGAATATCGACAAAATTTTATTGATAGATTATTGAATAGATTACTAACAAAATTAAATCTATTAATAATCTATCACTAAAAGTATGGTCATATTACGGCCAATTTTACCGATGATTTTTTCATCTATAAATTCGTTGCTAAAAGCTACTGAAAGATTTACCAACGAAAAATTTCATTGGTAAAAAAATTTGAAAAAAATTTTTTTTTTGACATTACCGACGAAAATTTCATCGCTAAAACCATCGTTAAAGGTATTTTTAAAAAATTTTAATTTTATTGACAGAATTTTTGTCATCAAACTGTCATTAAGAGTTACAAAATTTCAAATCCCTTATCGAGGCATCTTATTTTTCCCCCAAGTTCTTTCCTAAATCCTCAATTCCTCTTCCCTTCCTTCTTTCTCTGCCACCTTATCATCCAAGTGCGCTAATTAGCATCAATGTGTCTCTTCCCTTTGGTAAGTTTTTTTTAATTATTTTTTTTATGTTGTATTTTATGTAATATATTTGTTGAGTTTAAGGTTTAATTTTTTGTTATAAATTTGTTAAAATTTCTTTAGGTTTTGGTTACCAATACATTGAGTTTTTGTTAGTTATTTATTTATTGAAATTTATTTGGGTTTTGGTTACCAATTTGTTGAGTTTTTGTTGGTTTTATATTTGTTTGGTTATGTTTTTGTTGAAATTTGTTGGTTATATATTTTTGTTGGGTATTAATGTTGGGTATTGTTAATGTTTTTTAGATTATTTTTAGAATTGTTGGAGAATTTTTTTTATTTGTTGTGTTATTTATTTTTTATTTATGAAAGTTTTGTTGAGATTTGTTAGGTTTTGTTTAAATTTATTAACTTTTAGATGTTTAAGATTTATATAAGGTAATTTAGGTTTAATGTGTATTAAGATTTATATTTATTTTGATGGATGTCTTGTATTTAATATTTTCTAGTTTTTAATAATAATTATAGAAATTAAAATTATTTATGTTGATTTGAGGTTATAATTTATATATTACTAATAGTTTTCTCATTTTGAAGTAATTTATATATTATTAAGATTTATATTTGTTTTAAAATAATTTATGTATTTGATAGTTTAGTGAAATTTATAAATTACTAATTATTGAAATATTGTGGTTTTATTGTATTGATCAAACTTAATATGAATAAATTAAATTATTCTATTTTATTTTTCTTTTTCATATTCTATCTGTGAATGCTTGTTATGAAAATGGGTTTAGATTGATGTATATTTTATAATAAATATAATTTTTTATTCATTTTATCATACTAACGTTCTTTATTTTCCATTTCAACTACTTTGAAAGTAGAACAAGTTTTGTACATAGAAGTGCTCGATTAGAGAAATTCTCTACAAAACCGACAAATTTACACTAAGAATGTCAAGATCAAAGGTAAAATTCTATCATTAAGACCAATAATATTTTGTTGTGAATGTGTTGTCTTATGGTATGTATGATAAATTTTTGCAAGACCTTTTATGCCATTGACAGACTATTTGTTAAAGTAGACAAATGATTACCTGATATTATCATTTAAATAATTTTGTTTAGAATAATAATAATAGCTCATATGGTCAATTAATAAAAAAGTTTAATACTTTATATGATTTTAATTGCTTATATTTAAATTCAATTAGGGTTCAATAATGAAAAAAAAAATCGCTCTTGGATATACTTTTGTTTAGGATTAAAATGATACATAATTTCAACCATATTAATTTGGTTTTAGTTAAAATGATAAAATTTATAAGTTTTAGGCCTATTTGTTTGAACTTTGTTATTCTTTTTTCTTCTTGAAATGTGATTCAAGGCTTTGATTTGTTGTTGATATGCTGGCCGTACTCAATTATGGTTTGGAATTGTTTTTCTTTATTTATTTGATTGGATCATTTTATATTAAAATATTTGCACTAAAGGTATTTGATAATTCATTACAAAGAATTGCTATTATTTGACAGCTCTTTTGTTTCATAGCCATGTTTCGGAATTTGATATATGTTAATAAAAGATCAAATTACTCAATTATTGGAGAATCATTTGTGATGTAAATCATGTTATGAATGCGAACCTGTGAAAGCCCTTAACAAAAGTTTAAAATCTAAAACAGCCTGATAAGATAAATAAGCTTCCATCACGTTATGTTATAGAAAGTTTCATATTTATCAATTGCTATTTTCTTATATATAGGGAAAATCATTAGTTCTAGCTTTTTCTTCAAGAACAAAAAAGGTATTCTACATGTCAAATGAGGGTACAAATTCACAAAATGAAGTACATGATACATCCTTTGATTTACGCTTGTTTAAATACATGGAATAAGATACTATTTTTTATTGATGGCCATATCATGTCTTTACTACTATTTTTCATATTTTTTGTTGCATGGCTTATAATATCTACTGTAAATCATTCGAATTCTAATACCTAAAACTTAAAATATAACTCTGTGCAAACTATGTTTGATTAGGTCTTTTCCACAGCAAATCCAACTGTTTTAGATCAATTGTCAAATATAGACTGCATTATTTATGCTATAGGCTTCCTCTTCA